ATACACACATATACACACAAAGCAGCACACACACTTGAACATTTTACACACGGAACGCGTTTTTGAGGTCCATTGCGCTGGTTTTTCATCGTGTTTCTATGTAAAGATGCGCTACATTGGTGTTTCCACCGTTGAGCCGCGTCCCGCGCTATTTTCAGTGTCTCGCGCGGGACCGCTGCGATTTAAAGACACACTCATACAGTGCAGTCAGACTGCATAGCACCCCACTGAGGATGCGGCTGCTATACAGATTGAGTTGAGTGCCTTTTTCCTTCAACAACGGGTGGGACTGCTCTGAAATACACACATATACACACAAAGCAGCACACACACTTGAACATTTTACACACGGAACGCGTTTTTGAGGTCCATTGCGCTGGTTTTTCATCGTGTTTCTATGTAAAGATGCGCTACATTGGTGTTTCCACCGTTGAGCCGCGTCCCGCGCTATTTTCAGTGTCTCGCGCGGGACCGCTGCGATTTAAAGGCGCCGTGTCTGGTTTTAAAAACGCGCTATTTTCCATTCCTACGCGCGGCGTCTCGCGTCTTTAAACGAAAGAACACGTTCTGTGTGAACGGCACCTTGCACACTCATGCTAACATGCAATTGTACAGTACGCAGGCATACAGACATTGAAGCAGGGGGCGATTTTAACGTTAGTTCGATATAAACTGATGTTTAAGCACTTTATAATGCCAACTTTATTATTTTTCCAGTATCACTTAACTGTAATTATTTTGGCTAAGAGCCCTTTAAAATAAGGCCAGGTTTATTTCACATTAAGCTTGTCTTGAGAGTGAGGCCAGTTTATTTTATTTGCACTGGCGGACATTCGCAAAATATCTTTAAATGTTAGCATTGTGTACTTGCACCCTGATTTCACTAAGTATGCCGCAGTACTGTATCTACATATGGCCTATTTTCAGGAGCACTTTCTAATTTAAATCAAGATATATCATAAATCAACTTCTAAAATACCAGACAGGACTTTAATCTGAACTATTTGATTCTCTACAGCTACCATTTTAGTCCAGAACAAGTTTAGAATAAAACCCTTTTTTTGACAATTTGATTATCAAAGATTTAAATAGCTGCAAGTGATTCAGGAGAAGAGGCCATTTTAAGAGACACATTGAACCAGTTCCCTCATTTATTTCTCCCATTGGAAACCACATGGATTTGGCAGGAAGGTGTTGACAATTGATTCTGAAATACCTCAAATGTTTTGTGTAAAGTTTATGTAATTTAGATTAAACTAATGCTAATTACAATGAGTACACTAACACTACTAAGACTAATAATAGTTAGTTTTTGAACTTGTGACTTGAAGCTTTATACTGTTAAATTGTGTTTTTGTTGGTGTTGTTGTTTGGTTGACTCATTTGCCAATTTCTTGTCTATTATTATTATTATTATTATTTTGATTGATGGCGGTACATAATTCTTTATAAAAGAAAGACATTTGAATGTTTAGACACACCACGAAAGGAAAAGGATTTGTGAGTGGAAGCAAAAAAATAAAAAATAAAATTGAAAGATGACAGAAAAGAGCAAAATCACAAATACGCTGAATTTCCAATATATGCATCAAGTTTCTAATAATTAGTTTCAGCATTATTCAAATGTTAATTTATTTTTTCTTTATTTAAAGCTCGATTGTGTTAAGTGCTCCTAGCATAAATTTAAAAAATAATGAAAAAACAAACTCCTCCCATTTGGGGACACTTTTTTCTGCATGACTATTGTATACTGTATAGAGTAAAGCTGGATCAACCTGGACTTTGGTGGGAACGACTAGGACGAATAGACCCCGGGGGAAGTTTGACATGGGTGGGAAGGGTAGTAAAAGTGTTGGAGGGGTCTTTGTTTTGTGGAGTTTTCTGTCACCGTTGTTTTTCACTGGTTGTGTGCATGTATTGTTGCAGCCCTCTCTGCCCTCCTTGTATTTCTTTTATGTATATAACTCTTTATAATGGGGCATGACCGTGTATCCTGGGCAACTGAACTTGGTCATGGACCCCTATGTACACACGTCTCCTCTTCTGAAATGTAATCTTGTGGGCATTTGTTTACATGTGGCGTGTTTCTCGATTTGGGTTGCACACCATTTCACACAAAACTGGAATGCTACTGGCCAGTTTTTTTTGCAACAGACCCCTCCAACCAGAAATGGTCTCTCATTGACTGTAAAACAGCATCACGTACATCATGTTTCTCTCCGGGTCTGTCTGCAGATCCAACCCCCCAATCACACTGTGCTCTTCCTCTTCTGTTACCTGTCAATCAATCAGAACCAAGTGTCTTTGGGATGGTAGAAGACAATCAGTTTCAAAACAAGGAGAAAAAATGGTAGAGAGAAGACAGGCTGAGAGGAGGAGGAGAAGAGGAGAAAGGAAAGAGGCTCTCACTGGTTGCAAGTAGGTGACCGCTGCCCTATTTAGCTTGCTGTGGTGCTTATGGTGTGCAGCGTTAGCTAACTTTGCAAACACTCTTCCCTGATAATCTTAAAGTAGCATTGCATAGTAATGCATCAAAAACATTCAAGCCTTTCAAGGAGATTTAACTCCAACAAGAAATTTTAACCACCAAAAATGTACAAAAGAAGTAACAGTTTAGCACTTTAATGCCAACAGTGATGCTAACAACTAATGTTCACTTTAGAATCTAGGTACATTTGGTCTCAGAGGGTTAGTTCACCCAAAAATCCATGTGACGCAGCTGACACAGAACAGCATACGCTGTTTACGTTCAGTGGATACTCTCCAAAATGGCACCAGGGTGATGTGGAGGAGACGAAGTGCTGAATAAAGTCGTTTTTTTTTTCTTTTGCGCACAAAACGTATTTTCATATCTTCGTAAAATTACGGTTGAACCCCTGATGTCACATGGATTATTTTACCTTGATCGTGTTAGGATCCTTGCTGTCTATGGGAGGGTCAGAGAGCTCTCAGATTCCATCAAAAATATGTTAATTTGTGTGGTTGAAGATGAACGGTGGTCTTACGGGTTTGGAACAACATGAGGGTGAGTAATTAATGACAGAATTTTCATTTTTGGGTGAACTATCCTTTTAACTACTCCCACACTGCTGGACTTGAATTGAAAAGATTTAAGTCCAGCAGTGTGTACTGAAAAGAGCTAGTGCAGACAAGTGCTAACATTTGCGCTAACAATGCTCCTAATAACCACAAACCAGTCAATAAAGAGCTGCTGAGGCTGGTTGTCTTTGCAGAGAGAACTATGCAAAAATACAAAGAAAAGAAAAGCCTTTACCTCAATCTTAATCGATGTGGTTGGTTCAGGCTTTTTTCCAGTTCCTCAAAATCCACTTCAGTCACTAGGATGATGTTCAAGAATACCTGTACCAATTATAGATTAAAACACTTACCTGCTAAAATGTTACCTGCTAAGTAAACTGTATTAAACTAGCCTTCACTTCAGTGGGATTAGCCAATCTGGTTTGTTGGTTTTTATAAATGCTTTGGGCACTTGGCAGGCTGAGAGACCAACTAAATGATAAGCTAACCTAGCTAAGACCAGCAAACCATCTTGAGCTGGTTTAAGTGTTTTTTTAAGCAGGGAATTGCAGTGTAGCAAATTAGCCCAGATTATTTAATACTGAAAAACTATATATAGGGAGGAGAGTTTGCAAAGTAAAAAGCTCATGCACATAAACTCTTAGAGCACATCTATCCAAGGGTAAAGACAATCCAAAACAAAAAACAAAACAAAAAAACAATCAGTGTGTGTTTCTGAAGCTGTTGAGATGCCTGGCTGACTATATTTGACAGGTGTAAGGATTTCCCTTTCATAAATTTAAGTTCAATGTTAAGACCTAGTGCAGGAAATATTAAAGGTGCAGTAGGAGATCTTGGAAAATGCTAACTTTAGCCTGATAGCACTGAAAGCGAACGTCCCACCCTCCCTGAAATCGCTGTCCAAAGCCACGCCCCCTGAACGCATATGCACTCACAGACCAGAATACCAGGGACAACATTACTACAATAGGCTACATCAGCGGTTCCCAATTCCAGTTGTACTTCGAAGTGAAGTAAACTTTAAATGGATTTCTCCTGCTCAGGGAGTAGGGAGCAATGAACACTGTGTAGGGATCATATCGATTAAAACGCTCGGACCGAGCGTTTTGATTGGATGAACATTTCTTAGTCCTACGCCTTCCACAGAATATATAAATACAGATGAATACATTTAGACCACTTAACTTAATGATTGCTATCGGGATGTGAAGAGACTTTCAACCAGCATAACAAAAAATGTTTCTGAAGACAATCACCTATTGCACCTTTAAGGAGAAAACACCTGTCCTTGTTTAAAATCTTCTGCACAAGATTTTGCTGGTTTTAATATCCATTTGAAGCTTCACATTCACACACAAACTTGTTCTCAGGCAGCTGTTAAAGGTAAAAGGGCATGCTATTATGGAGAGCCTCATTCCTCCTCCTGTCCTACAGGGGGAGCCAGAGAGCCTGTGGAGCACTTTTCATTCAGTGCAGGAAGGAGACAAATTGGAATAATAACTGTTACAGGAAAAAAAAGGTAATATGGGTAAATTGCGTGTTTTGAAATAAAATAAAACCACTGTTGAACATTTTCACGCTATTGTCTGTTTATTTATCTAGCCTGGATTTCACTGCAGCAATGAAGATAAAAAGAATATATTTTCAATTAAATATATTTATTTGTAAAATTTTATACAAAAATACAAGTATATTTAAAAGATCTAATATTACAAACTAAAGATGATGGGATTTACCTTTTATCAACTATTTGGCCCTATGATGCGCATAATGTTATGACAAATTGGGGATTTACTACTTTTTTTGCATTTTAAAATGTTCAAACCCTCCACATAACATTAAGTATTGGCAAAATGGTCACTATCAATTAGATTAGGTGTATTCTGGGCCTCCATTTTGGAATTGCACCAAAAACCCTAGGTTTCAGGACCACAGACTTTTTAAAATATATATAAAAATAGAGTTAAAATATTTGTTACTCATATCACATTTTCAGTGCATGACAAAACACACTGAAGATGCTAGCTAGCATGCCACATCACCACTATTCATTTCTATAAGTGAACCCTGTGGAGATTCTTTCTTCAGACTATCTGCTGTAACTCTCCTGTCCTGTGGGGGTGCCGTAGAGGGAAACCCAACTCCTGTGGTGATTAACTTTCCAAAACCTTTCCCTTGGGACACCGCATAGGATGAACGACGCTGAAGGGTACCTCTCTGAAACCACGACTTCAGCTCAACAGGCTTATTCAAGCTGTGGATCTGCATGTGGAAAAAGGACAATACGGTGAGCACAGACAATAACACAACATGTCTTATATGCTAATTGTGACAAAAGCATTTGTCACTAATTGTGACAAAAGCAAAGTGGAGATCAACCTTATGTTTGTTGGGGTTTGTTAGCACAACACCTAAGGCCCGTATGGTTACTGAGGGAAGGACAGCAATACAGGTGGTCACACATATGGTCAGCCAAACCTCAGGGGTACTGTAAGCATTTGGTGATGCTCCTGAAATTTCAAGATTCAGATAATCAACAGCATTTCAACATTAAGGGAATCTGCTTGAAATCCCTTATAAAGAGTTTCCGCATTTGTATATTTCACAGCTTAAACAGTCTTTTAACTCTGCCTCCTGGTGGTGTGTATAAATACAGAGAGTCTCAAAAATTCAGCTTGTGAAAACATGAAAGGTTCACATGCTCATATATATATATATATATATATATATATACACCCACAGTTGTGT